AAGTGTTTTATATACAATATCATATTAATACCATTCAACAACTCTACTCTAAGAATAGGTGTTCTTATCCACATTTTACAGATGCAGTAGCTAAGTCTCAAAGTGGTAAAATAATGCACCTACATAGAAGGGGTAGAAACAATATTTAAATCTAAGCACATCTGATGTCAGAGTTTCTGTTCTGCTGTTACTCTAGGAGCCTCCTAAGAATCACATCTTTATTTTTTTTGACCTTAGCCAGTTAGGAAGTTGGGCCCCTATTTTTTAAAAAAAATTTTTAGTCCTGTATACCATTACTCTGCACATTTTGATCAGTCCCTTGTATTAAGAATATGCCATTATAGTGAACAAAGGAAGAGATTATGAGTTTTTTTACACCTGAAAATGGGCACAGAGGGTACCATGAAAGGGGAAATGTGCATTTTATTTCAGTTCCATATCCTCAACATCCAGAACTTAGTAAGCCCTAAGTAGATATTGACTGGTGAATAAACAGTGAGGGAATTCCAGGAAATTAATGTCCTTCATTTGTAGTGTTGTCTTGCTGACTCCACCTCTTCTGGAGAACTTGGGGCTTAGCTGGGGCTCTTTTCCTTCTCTTTTTCTCCCACCCTCTCCTTCCCCAGCCACACTTCCTCTCTGGCTCAACTCGACAGGTCCCGTGGCTTGATGACGACTCCCATCTCTATATCTGCATCCTTGATACCTTCACTGACCTCAGGACTCATAGCCACCCAATCATTTACTCCACAAATAAGAGTTTAATACCTAATAATCACCTCACACTAAACGCAGCTAACACAGAGCTCCTGGTTTTCCTTCAGGCCATATCTTGCCCCAGTGTCCCTCATGTCAGTAACTGGCAGTACTCTCTGACCAGCTGATCCACCCTCATGTCCCCTCTCTTCCACCACCCCCACGCACTCCATCCAGCCAGTCCTGCCCCCTTTATTTCATCCCTTTCTCTACGTGTCCAGGGCTCCTCCCTGAACTGTAGCCACATCACCTCACTGTCGTCACTTAACCCAACCCCTGCTTCCGCACTTGCCCTCCTGCAGTCCATAGTCCACAAAGCAGCCACAGCAACATTTAAAAAAATTGTCTCATCTCTCTACTTCCTACTTCTGTTACTTCTTATCATACCAGACTCCTTTCCATGGCGTGCAAAGCCTCACTGACGGCCCCTGCTGACCTCTGCCGCCACAGTCTGCCCTACTCACCGCGCTGTGGCTGGGCTGGCCATTTTGCTGTTTCTTCCACACACCAACTTCATTTCTACCTCAGGGCTTCTGTTCTTGCTCTTCACCCTGCCAAGATGTCTCTTCACCAGGGTCTTCGAATGGCTGGCTTCTTTGTAGCATTTAGGTTCCAGCTCAAATGTCATCTCTCTAGGAAGACTTTGACCACATTTTATCACATTGTCTTAATTTATTTTCTTTAGGACATTTATCACTATGTGAAAATAACTCGTATATTTACTTATTTACTTGTTAAGTGTCTTTCTCTATCCCCAGCCTCTACCCTTACCTAAACACAAAGAACGTGCAATAAAACTAATTATCTTGTTCATCATGTTTGTCATTATAGTCACTGCTTGGCCCATCAGAGGTTGTCAGTAATGTTTGAGGGAGAATATATGAGAATACAATAAATGAATGTCTGTTGCCTGGAGCCAGGCCCGAATGTGTGTGAGATGTCTGTATTAATTAACTTACCTGCTGTATCATTCTTAAAGCTTCTCTCCATAATGTTATATTGTCGACTTTCTTCCTGAACAGAATATTTTTATTACTTGGAGGGATCCAAAGATGCTCTCCTTTGTGGTTTCAGCACAGACTCAGGGTATGTAATATTTGTTTTGATTTTAGTTTAATGACTGAAAAAAGAAAAACATACTCAATCAATTTGCTAATAAGAATCTTTGATTCTGTATTATTTTCATTTATTTCTTGGCATTATTTAACTTATTCTGTCCCACAGTGAGTCCAGACTTTAAAACGTTCATGGTTAATGCATACATTTGAAAGCAAGACTTTGAGATAGTGCTTGAATTAAAATAAGATACAAATCATATACATCTTAAGGAAGCAGAAAAAACTTACTTCCTAAAAACCCTACCGAAAGTTGATGGGTTAGTTTGCAGCCTTTCTTCCAGAAAGGAGAAAGACAAAATCAACTTTTCTTTTCATCCTCCAATTTGACTCATTCACCAATCAAGTATGGTTCATAGGTAACTGAATGCAGTGACATTTTGTTCGCTCTAAATAAAAGGATCCCATGGACTTGGGTAAAGCTATTTTAAGAATGTCATATTTATTTAAGTACCCATTTTGCTGTTTCTTCCATATACCAACTTTATTTCTGCCACAGGGCTTCCTGCACTCCCCCTGCCCAGACCTCTCCTGACCAGGCTCTGTGTATGCTGGGAATGTAAAAATAAACAAGATAAGGTC